TTGCTGTTGAATTTCAAAGCTGAGGAGGGAGGGCTTCAGATGTAAAATCGAGGGGACAGCTAGGTGATGCAGTGGATAGAGCACCGACCCTGAAGTCAGGAGAACTTGAGTTCAAATCTGGCCTCAGACCAATCACTTGACACTTACTAGCTGTGTGACCCTAGGCAAGTCAGTTAACTCCACTTGCCTCCCCCCCAAAAAAGATGTAAAGTCGAAAATTAACTACCATTTCTCTAAGCTTTCAGTCGACTACACAAAATTCCTGAACTAAAGATGGCCTCACATAAATTATATATCTCTTCAGGGCCCTCTGTTCATTCCATATTATGACATCAAAAAAATTAACTATTTAGAAGAGTATTTTTATCAATGTTAAGTGAAAGACTGTTCCCTTTTAAAACTTGGTGGAAAACTGTTCCACACAGCTCTCAACACTTAGGTCAGTCTACTTTAATTCCCTAAAGCAACTTAATTTACCCTGAAGGACTAAAGAGTTTCTGGGCTATGAATCTGAGTTATGAAGAAGCCTTAGAAGACTACTTCTATATTACATACCAAGAACTTTCGAGGTACAAATGTCCAGATAGTAACTTGATACACACTTGTAACATTAACAGAAACACATTCAAATTCAAAGTTGAGGCTTATGATTATTACAAACTTAAATCTTCATTTTTAAATTTTTTCATCTCAAGTTCTTCCAAAATCTCCAAAGCTAAACATTTTAGAATCTAATAAATAAATAGATGGAAACTAGAAGCAGAAAATTCATACCAGACAAAAGTGACTTTGGTGATTTATTTGGTTAATGAAAACAGGATGAAAAAGGATTTATTAAGCTTTTGCTATGTACTAAGCACTGTGCTAAGTGCTGGGGATACCAAGAGAAAAAGAGACAGAGAGTTCTTGCTCTCAAGGCGCTCACTCTAATTGGAGAGATAACACATAAAAGAAATTTCAACAGCAAGGCAAATGTAAAGATCCTGGAAGTACTAAAGGTTCAGCGGGAGGACAGAGGTAGGACCCAGGGCTCCTTAGGTTCCATAAGCAAGTCAGATGACAGTGTCAGGAGACTTCAGGGCTTTGAGGTAGGGCAGACGGTAAAGCCTGAAGAAATTCCATCTATTTAGATGCACTAGATTTGTTGATTCTGGTCTCATCCAACACATGCCAATCAGTCAATAAACATTCTCTGGGGATATTACTATGAAAAGGAAAGCTAGTTCCTGTCCTCAAGGAGCTTACAAACTAATGGGGGAAGTCAGAGGAGGGTGGTGGCATGACCAAGAAGTCCAAAGGAGTGCAGCCCAGTTGAGAATGCAAAGATAGCTGGCCTGGGCGCCCTCCTTAAATGAAAGTTTTGGGAGTTCTCTGTTCTGTCCTCCAATCAACATGGTCCCAGGAGCAGAGGGTACTGATGAGATACGAGTACCAAGGCAGATGTGATCTTACAGGATGAGGTTCGTGGGGCCATAATGGAGAAGTCTAAAAACAGGAGCACAGTCTGATGGGAAATGTGATCAGTCAAGCAGCCAAGACAAAGGAGTGAAGAAGAAAGGGGAGAGGGGGAAGGACACCCGCAACGGTAGCAGGTCTTCCTATCCACAAGCAGTCCCTGGCTGGGTTCTGGGATGGCTCAAGGCCAAGAGACCAGGCAAGCAGGGAAGAGAAAGGGGAAAAGCAACCAACAAGACTTTGGTATTAAAGTTAGCTTGAACAAAGAAGAGCTAGGTGCTTTAAGTTTTTCAGAATTTAGCACATTTAAAAAAACTTATTAAATTGTTGGGACTGAAATATTTGATTTAAAAAAATAACTAAGTAGAACCTCCATCAAAGTCCTACTCTTCAATTGCCATATCCTAGCATGGAAGCGACCCTGAGTTTCTGAAAGATCAACCAGTAGGCCATAAGCTCTGGTGTGTCCTACCAACCAAGAAAAGGCTCTAATATAATCTAGTGACAAGGCTAGCTAAGGATGACAGCTTCACCACCAGGCTGACCACAAGGCAATGAATTATTTTGTTCCACAGTAACTCTTAAAAATTACTAATAGATGGAGTTCTGTTACGATCTATCTATCTACCAATAGGTAGAAGGGTTCCTGGGCATAACCAGAACAGAGAAATAAATCACTGATGTTTGAAATGTTGAAGAAATTAAAAAGAAAAACAAAATTGAGGTCTTTGAGACCAGTAGTCTAATCAAAACAATTTATTTGAGAACACAAGGGAAGCTAAATCCTCATTCTCATCTAACTATGACAACTCTATTGTTGCCAGACAACACTTTATACAGAATATTTCCATTTTGCAAACATAAAATATACCAAAAATATATTATCAAATCTATTCTCTGAACATGATGTTCTTATGAATAAAAGAAAATGCCAAGTACAGAAAACAATTTGCATGGTAAGCTTCTATTGAGTGAACAATACATTACATTCAATAAAAATTCATTACAAAAATTTTTGAAACATATTATGATAAAGTCAAACTAAAATAAAATTATCTAGAAGTGGCTAACTGAAAATATGTAATCATTCCAAGGAACATATGCAGTACAATACCAATCAAAACTGTTTCCTTCTCATCAGATAACTTCAGATACGGAATAGTATAAAATAGTCTGCCTATACAATATTAATATTTAAAAAGGGAAAAACACCTTCCAGACTAGAAATTCTAGTCAGGCTCATTGCTCTGCAACTTTAAGACTTAAACCAAAACATGCCACAAGTAGTAAACTAACCCTACAGTGATACAGCAAGCACGATATAACCACATCAAAGTCTTTCCAAAGCAGTTTTGACTGCCAAAACCATTCACTTCCTTAGCACACAAGTCTACAGTTTTTCCTTTCCTCATGGTATAAACCATAATAAAAGGCAGCATGGTATAAAGGATAGAGTGTGGGGCTTGAAATCAGGGAGATCTGAGATCAAATTCTGACTGATGCTTATTAGCTGTGTGACCCTGGGTGAATCACTTAACCTCTTTGTGTGTCTGTCAAAACAACTAGAAATTGCTCACAATATAGTCCTGGAGTTTACTTTAAGAAAGTGTATACCATCAGGAAAACAATAAATACAAGAAAAATACTGTAAAAGAAAAGAATGATAAAACAAAACTAAATGCTTTGTAACTATAACTGTCAAGCTTGGACCAGAAGAAGAGTTCAGAAAATGACCCTCCATTCCTTCGCTGCAGGAGTGGAAGACAATGGGTATGGAACAGCACATATGCTATAAGACATGTTAGTGAATTTCACTGAATTGCTTTTTTCCCTCATTTTAAGATCACTGTTACAAGAGAAGACTCCATGGCTTGGGGAGGGAATGGGATAAATGTGGAAATGAATGTGATATAAAAACAAAAGTCATCAATAAAAAAACCTTAATTTCAAAAAACATATATATAGGCCAGTTGTCCTTATAGCTTATGTTTCCCCTTCTGTTTCACAAATTCACATTAGTAAACCTTCAATCAACCCCGTCCACCAAAAAGAAAAAATACTCTAATTTATTCAACACAAAACTATTATCAGCTATCATTATATATTCCCTGGGTCTAACAATCTAATTCTGCTATTTTAAGGGTATTATATGAATTGGTATGGTGGCAATACCTGTAGCTACCCACTATCCTAAAAGCAGTTATACCTACAGAATATTCTGTGGCCATGAATCTCCAAAGTGAAAATAAAGATAATTCTTAACAAGGACCTTTTGAAACATTTAAAAAACAACAAGGTTAATGAATGACTACCAATTGCAATAATATTCAGGAAAGATCGAGTCCGACCCTTCTTCCTTTTTCCCCTTTTTTTGCTGAGGTAATTTTCAATGTATTTAATAAAAAAAACAAGCACATGTATTTTGCACATATACACCTGTACTCTAAAAAAGAACTTGTAGCTGATAGTACTCAACACTTTATTGTATTAATACTATTAACATAACCATTTTTATATGTCTATATCACATCTTCCACTTAACTCATGAAAATCCCCATAGAACATGGCCTACCCTTGATGCTGCTGCTTCACTAGTCAACAAAAAACCTGCACAATTCTATCACATAAAAAACTGCAAATCAACCATCTCTCCTAGCACTCTTTCCTTCATTGTCACCCTGCACAATCTGAGCAAAATAATTATAGCCGTCTATCCTCCATACTGCTTTAATACAATAAGCAAGGGAACGGAGATTGTGCACACTGAAAACCCGCAATGGCATTACACTAAAATATGCAATAGGGATTACCGCCCCAATCTTCTGCACACACCACTGGCTTCACTACCCTAAATGCCAGATTCATCCTTCCTCTCCGTCTGACAAGCCCCTGCTGGAATTTTTTTTTTTTAACCAACCACTGTCCCTCATACCCACTGAACCCTCACCCCAAGCCTTCCCTACTTTCACAATATGAGAGAGCCCACTTAACTCCCCTTCGTTTGCCTAAAGCTTTAATGCCAGGACTCATTAATCCTGCTGTATTACCTGGATGCCTCAATTCCACCCCCACCCCCACTCCCCCAATTGTCTCATACACAGCCTAGGCCACCCTGCCCCATCCCTGGTGCCTGGTAGCCAGTCTGAGCTTCCCCACCCTAATTTCAGCCCGCTTTAGACGATGCCTGAGCGCCCCCTTGCCTAGTCCCCTCCCCACAGCCTAATCCCCTCCTCGTCACCTCCCCCTCCTCCATCCCCCCCCCGAGGGACCCCACTTCGGCAGAACCTTCCATACTTTATCTTCCCCCAACCCGAACCCCCTGTTATAGGGAGCTCCCTCCTCCCAACCACAGGGTCCCCCATAACCCCTCTATCCAAAGCCTGACCCCGCCACCTTCTGCTTTCCTCCAAGACCCCAGAGGCCCCTCCCCATAAACAATCCCCACAAACAGCGCCCCCCCCAGCCTCTTGACAGCCTGTTTCCCCCGAAGGAGTCTCTTTCCCCTCCTCCCCCTCCTCTCTCCGCCTTCCCCCGCCCCTGCTCACCTCCACCAGAGAATCTGAGGCCGCGAGGGGCTCGCTCGCGGGCTCCCTCCCCTCCGAGGGCACAGGCGACTGAGGCGACTGAGGCGAAGGCTGTGGCAACAACAGCGGCGGCGGAGGCGGCGGCAGCAGCAACGCCCGGCTGTCCCTTACCCCGCTCTCCCCTGCTCCCCTCTCTCTCTCCCTCTCTTCGGCCCCGCCTCCCTCCAGCCTCGGCGGCGCAGCCTCAGCCACGGACACACTCCCCCGCCCTCCGCCCGCTCCCCTTCTCCTCCGGGCCCGGCCCCCCTCGGCTCCTCCCCTCACCATAGGGTGCGGCCTGCGGGGCCCGCAGCCCAACAACGCGCCTCTCCATTGGCCATACCTGCCGCCCAGGCCCCACAGTCATCTAAAGTGCTTTGGGATTGGTCGGAGACAAGAGTGGGGGGCGGGGCGGGCGAGGCGGGAGAAAGGCGGGGACTGGGGGGGGGCGGACTCGGGACAGGCGGGGAAGGGGCGGGGCGAAAGAATCTCCGCCCCCTAGAAGGTCCTTTCTGCCCCCTCCCACTCGTTCACTCTCCCGCCTCCTTCTTTTACTGCTTCTACAGCCTCTTCGCCCCCCCCCCGTCCCCTGGGGGCTCCTCTCCTTCATCCTCTTCCCTCTTCCTTCCACCTCCTTCCCTCTCCTTCACCTCCTTCTCTTCCCCTCGTCTCTCTCTTCCTTTCCTCCCTCCACCTCCTCCCTATCTTCTCCTTCCCCTCCCTCCCTCTGTCCCCTCTTGTCCCCACCTCCCCCTTCTCCCACCTCTTTACTTTCCTTTTCTCCCTCCCCCCCTCCTTTCTCCTTCCTCCCACCCTTTGAGCCTCTTCATCGCACTCTCTCTTCTCTCCCATCTTCCCTATCTCCTCTTCCTTTCTTGCCTTCCTCCCTATTACTCTCTCCCTCTCCTTTCTTCATTTTCTCCTCTACCCCTCTTCCTCCCCCTCTCCTCTTTCTCTCTCCCTCTCCCCCTCTTTCTTTTCTCTCCTCCACTTCCCCCATCCCCCCATGGTTCTCTTCTCTGTTAATGCCATCTGTGGAATTAAGAACTAGCCTCCTTAAGGCCTTAAGTGAATGGAGGTAAGTAAGACCAGAAAAATTAAAATGTCACTACCCAAGGTCATAGAGGTAATAAAAGCTGGGATTCTGACACATTCCCCTAGTTGGAAGAGGTCCCAGAGGACTTCTAATTCATCCTTCTGCTCTGTACAGGAATCCCATCTACACCAAGCCTGACACATTTTTCTTGAACATCTCCAGTAATGGAAAGGTTACTGCCTCAGAATGTAGTCCATTCCATTTAATGTTTAAAAATTTTTAATAATGAACTTGACAAATATCGACAAACATTTTCATATAAAAAGAAAGAGAAAAGAAGATTTTACATGCTACCACAAACCTGTTACACAGCCTTGCTTAAAGCGTGTGTTAAACTTGACATGGTATTTCTAACACTCTCCATCTTCTTGTCTATGTCTGCTTTTGAACATCCTGCTTCTATGTACTTTTTAATGTTTCATTTTGATGCTTCCCCTCATTTTAAAAAATATTACTATCATTATTTCCCTACTGCCCTATCAATCTCTCACAAAAATCCATCCCTTGTAATAATAAATAGGTAAAGCTAAGAAAAACAAATTTACACATCATCAGAAATACATGCCACTCTTCACACCTCCAGTCCACTTCCTGTCCACCTCCTCTAGAAGAGTTGTGAAACATGAATTGGTGGCTGGCCATTATGTTGATTATGGTAAACAAATCTTTCACAATTGTTTTCCTTTACAGTGTATAAATTTTTCTCCTGGTTCTGCTCAATTCATTTTGCATCAGTTCATACTAGTCCTCCCAGGTTTCTCTGAAGCCATTCCTTTCATCATCTCTCACAGAACAATAATATTCTATTATACCATGATTTATTCAGCTATTGCCCACTTGATGCATACCCACTTTGTTTATAATTCTTTGCTACTACAAAAAGTGCAGCTATGTCTGTTTTTGTACATGAGGATCCTTTCAGCCTTTGATCTTCTTTGGGTGTGAGTCTAATAGTAGTGTTGTTGGGTCAAAAAGATATGCTCACTTTAGTGACTTTTGGGGTATAATTCCAAATTGCTTTCTGGAATGGTCTGATCAATTCACAACTACATTAGTAGTACATCAGTGTGCCTTCATCCACAGGCCCTCCACCAATTGTCATTTTACTTTTTTCTCCTCTTTACAAATCTGATATGTGAGATGGAGCCTTAAAATTGTTTTAATTTGCATTTCTCATTATTTGTAATTAGGAGCATTTTTTCCCCACATGATTGTTAATACTTTCCTTAGAGAACTGTGTGTTTATATCCTTTGACTATTTATCTATGGTGGAATGGCTCTTGTTCTTATATATTTCCATTAGTTTCCTATATATCTTCAACCCATTTCATTTTCAATCCCTATGGGAAAACCTTGGTCCAGAGAAAAGAGTGATGGTTTTGAAATCTGAGGAACCAAGTTCAAATCTCACATCTGCCACTTAGGACTCTAATGGCTTTGAGCAAATCCAAACCTTTCTGGACTTCAATTTCCTCATCAGTATAATAAGACAGTTGAACTAGTTGGCTTCTAAATTCCTTCCCAGGGGCATCTAGGGGGCAAAGTGGAATTCAAATATGGTCTCATACACTAGCTGTGTAACCCTGGACAATTCACTTAACTCTATTTGCCACAGTTTCCTCATCTGTAAAATGAACTGAAGAAGGAAATGGCAAACCACTCCAGTATCTTTGCCAAGAAAAACCCAAATGGGGTCACAAAGAGTCAGACCCGATAAAAAAGAATGAACAACAACATATACCAGAGAATGTATTAGGGCTGGGGATACAGATAACTAATGAAGCAATTTTGCTCTGATGAAACTTACTACATTCAACAAGAATTTATCAAGTAGATGATTATAGACCCTTCTATGCAACAACCATGGCTAGAAATAGTGATTAAAGCTTAACAAAATAAATGGTTGTGGAATGAATTGAATGGTAACCTTCTAAAAGTCCTTTCTATATAGATGCCCTATGAACCCCAGGCAGCTTCTCCAGGGTTTCCTGGGTGGGGGAGGGGAAAGGGGGAGGGGAAAGGGGATCTCTAGAGAGGCCAGTCATGTAGGCCATCACCTCAGTAGTCCTAGTAGCCTGTTGCTGAGGCTGGTCCTAATCATGAGAGGCCAATGGGCTCTGTGGTGTTCTGATAAGAACCTAAGCTTGGTGGGGTGCTGAGCCCCAGAGGGAAGAGGACAGAGCTGCAGAGTATGGGGTGTGTAGTTGGCAAGACATCTGTAAATTATGACAACCAGTTCAGTTACTCTCAAAATGCAGCTTCAACCTTTGCACAACATACAGGAAAGAGGAGGCTGTTGCTATAGTAACTCTGTGGGTTAACCTCCTGTCCTGGCCACCTGGCAGCACGTCCAGGGCCCCTCAATTTGCTCCAGTTCCCAAAGCAATAAGTTTTAAGTACCTTTGGCAAGGTAACAATTTTGTTTTTTGGTGTTTTTTTTGTTTTTTTTCCCAGAGGATATGAGTGCATTTACATTAGTAGCAGCCTTCCTTTCCTCCTTCTCTGAACAGACCATGTAGGAAATGTGGGGGACCTAGAGTCGTAAAACCTGGATTCAGGCCAGATTCTGTCACTAACTCACTATGTGACCTTGGACAACCCCTTCACCTGCTTTGTAAAATGTTTCTTCCTTTATAAAATGAAAGAATTAGACCAGATGGTCTTTAAAGCCCCTTTCAGCTCTAGTATTATATGACCTAAGTTTGGTCCCAAAGAAGAGCTCCTTTGCAAGGAAGGGATGGAGGTCTATGGGTGTGGAACATTGCATACATTGTCAAATTATTTCGATGTATTGATTTTTTTTCCTCTTCCTTCCCCCCCCAAAAAAAAATTCTTTGTTATTTGGGAAACTCTCTGAGGAGGGTAGGGGAGAAGTACAGGGAGAAATTTAGGCCATATTAAAAACAATATATCAATCAATGTGACTTTTTAAAATTCATATGTTCTAAGATCCCTTTCAGCTCCAAATCCCTATGTTATATATCCTGAGGTCCCTTCTATCTCTAACATTCTTGTTGGTTTCCTTCAAAGCTCAGCTCAAAGAACATTTTCTTTGTGATACCTTTCCTTCCCTGGCCCAACCCCTTCCTAAAATTTACCTTCCATCAATTTTGTATATATTCTGTATATAATCATATGTGTCTATATTGTCTTCACCCTCCCTCCATTAAAAAATAAACTCCCTGAAGACAGGCATGTTTTCACATTTGTCTTTGTATCCCGAGTGTTTAGTGCCTAGACCATGGATCTATAGCTAGGAGGCACTTCCGAGTCATCTAGTTCTCCCTACTCATTTTACAGAAGAGGACGCTAAGTACCATGGAGGTTAAATGATCTGCCCAAGATTACACGTAATGTCAGAATCGGGATTTGAACCCAGCTCCTCTGACCTTGAGTCAGTGTCCAATTGCACTTCTGTTCCTCATGGTATATAGCTCTTTCTAGTTCTATAAACATTCTCTAGTCAAGGCTCTAGCAGCCTCTTTCCTCTGGTCCGTTCCAAGTCAGACTTTGTAAACTCTGTGCCCTATGCATCTGCCCATGGGGTCTGATTGAAATGAGAAAATCAATGGAGTGGTGAAGGTGTTTTCCTACACTGCTCCTGGGCAGGTATCAAAGGGCCCCAGAGGAAGTGTGGGGAGGAGGTGGGCCACACCCTGCTGATTTTCATGTCCCTTCCCTCCCCAGTTGACCAAGCCACAGCACTTGACTTCCTTCCTCAAGTTCTACCTTCCTTCCAGCTTTCAATCTGAATCATAGATTCTGCATTTTAATATAAAATACTGTCACCAAATAGGACGATAATAAAAGTCAGGGGAATGCACAACGTTCTCAACCCAGAAAACTAGCTGGAGAGATAGAAGTGTAGTTCATATCCAGGTATAGCAATCATGACAGCTAGAGAAAAGGGAAGACACTTTTATTTCCCTGAGGGAAGCAATGGTGTAATGGAGAGAGAAGTAAACCAGAAATGTGGGTTCAAATCCTGGCTCTGTCTTTCACTTAAACATGCATTTTCCTAAAACGAGTGCAAATATTATCAATCAA